ATGTGAAGGATATGGATGAAAGAGATCTTACTTGAACTAAGATTCTCGATTGCCACTACTATGAGGATTTGGTGTGACAATCTATCAACTATAAGCATAGTCAAAAATCCTGTCTACTACGACAGAACTAAATATATGAAAATTGACCGACACTTCATCAGAAAAAAAATTAAAAGTAAGGATATATCACTACAATACATCCTAACAAGTCAACAAACTGCAGACATTCGCACAAAAGCACTACCAAAAAGAGAACTTAATAATCTTGTATCCAATCTAAGATTACTTAACATTTATGCATCCTATATTGAGGGGAAGTGTAGAAATGTATATATGTAGAAACGTAATCGCACTAGGGGGTAAATTAGTATTTTACTAGGTTGTTATGACTGCTGGGAAATACCCACTACCATTGCAACCTGTTAAGCTGTTAGAATATTTTCTATAACTTATTTTGTTTGTTCTGGCTGAATGCCTATAAATTGGCACCTTTGTGCCCAATAATAATAATAGAGGATTCTCCTCTTCTCCCAAACTCTCAATCTTCTTCAATTTTTTTTCAATTTGCACACTTTATTTTCTCTTAGTTTCCCTTGAAGAAAGAAGGATTATCCATGTACCATCAAAAGTTCCTTACATTTAACTCCAAATATCAATAAAAGTTAGCTGCTAAAAACAGCAAAACTCTTACTAGCATTCATTTTTTTAACTAAAACAAATGTCTCCTAATAGTTCACACCATAGACTAGTGTATATTGGTTCGCCATAAATTTGGCCTTGTATCTTCTAGGGCGTCATTTGACCTGTACTTCACTGTAAACACCCACTTGGATCCCACTAGCTTTTTGCTTTGAAAATAAGTTTAACAATTTCTCATGTTCAGTTCTTCTCTAGTGTCTACATCTCTTATCTTATAGCATTTTCCATTTCTCATCAAATAATGCGTTAGATAAAATATTAGGAATCTAGGTAGTATTTAAAAGCTTCTACATGGATGCAAGAAATTTCCAAAGGACACAAACTTCATAAGTGGAGGCAATAGCTATTAGTGCATCCTCTTGTATCTTTATCTAGCAACGAAAAAAATTATGAACAGAACCATATCAACTCCCACCCTAGGATGTTACTGCTATGCTCTTGTGATGCTTGTAGTCTCTCTCTAAAACTCTCCCAATCAACTGACCTTCTCCTCGATACTCCCATTTCTTCAACCCTCCTTTCCCTAACAACCAAATTCTTAAACCAAACACTACAATTTTCCCTAAACGGGTCAGCCCTGATTTTTGTTTTCATTGAACAATATTTCTCTCCAACTCGAAGCGGTTCATTCTCATCGGAAATAAGTCTTACGATGTCATCTGCGAAGGAAGAAAACTGGTCTTTAAATAAGTGAAAACAACCACGGAAACAGGGTGTCAATCAGCCTCAATAAAAACGAATTGAGATGGATTACCGAATCACTCAACGACTTCTATTGGAATAGGGGTGGGAAGTCCTGGGGTAAAAAATTTAAAGGTGACCACCGATATCTCTTTCTGATGACGATCCAGAATAAAAGAGGTCGAGCTCTGGTCCTCTCAGATGAAAGAGAAAAGTCAACAAGGAGAATCTTCATCCCAGACGGCTATGAGGCTGGAGGATGGTGGCGTTTTATGAAAGCAATTTCTGAGCTGTCTGAAATTCCTTTGGTAAACCCCTTTAAACTTCAGAAAAAGGTAGCAAGCCCGACACCCATGGTAAATAATGCAATGTTTTCGAGTCCAGTTTGTTGCCCTACCTGCAAAACGCAAATCCAAGTCCTTTTGGTTTCGTCGAAGAAGAAAACTTACGCAACCGTACTTCAGTGCAACGACCTGTCTCGTACTCGAATGCAAGAAAACCCACCCGACTCGAAGAGGAAACCAAAAAGGCTGGAAATTCAAATTGCATCTGACAAAAGGACAAATTCTACCACCATCAAAAGCTGCCAGAGACAAAATCAGAAGATTAAGTCAACAAAATCAAATGGGACCTTTTTAACTGGATTTCGGGCACCAAAAGACAACCACAAAAAGCCCAGATTTTTCTGGGCTGAGAAAGGGAAATGGACTAATCAAGCTGGCCCAAGCAAGCCCAATCTGAATCCTCTTAGACCAATAAAAAAAATTAAGAAAGTAAAGAGCGAATGGAGGAAGAAAAGAGTTTTACCTTCAGTTGTGCAGAACACCAATACAAATTTTAAGACTCAGACACCAGCACACAGTGTTATGGCTGTTCATAGTGAAGGAATTTTCACCGACAACAAAGAAACTTCTCCTTCCTCAAACCAGCCAGCGTCTTCAGCTCTAATGACTGGTCTCCCGAATCAAGCTTTTTTCTTCAACCAGCAGTAAATCATGAAGAGGAACACATTCACATCAATGGAACAGAATTGGTCACAATACACATAAAACCAGAATCAGACCCCTCGCCTCTGCAAACTCTTAAAGATACCAGTTTGGCAGAATTAATTAATTCCTTGGATCACATACTCAAAGGGAACTACAAGGGAGACATTCACCTCTACTCTGAGTGGATCAACAAAAATATTTTCTGTGTAAGTTCATTTCTCGATGTCCCTCTTTTTGGTTACGAAAAAGAAATTCAACTTCTTCTTGCAGATATGGAAGTTAATAAGAATGAGGAGAACAAAAGCATTATACTCCTTGAAAAGGGCCGAAAGAAACAGAAAGATGGGAGTTCACGTGAATTGAGATGTCTACAAACCTCTATTAACTATGATAGACGCAACAAAAAGAACAGGGAAAATGGCAGTATTTCAATTTCTCAATTATGATTGACAAAATACTTTCATGGAATGTAAGGGGCTTAAATGACTCAAAGAAGAGAACAACTATTAGAGAATGTCTCAACAAGTGGAAACCATCCATAATCTGTCTGCAGGAAACAAAGATGAGCTCGGTGAGCGATAAATTCATTAGAAGCATTTGGATTCCCAATGATATTGGCTGGCATTTTTTACCAGCCAAAGAATCAGCTGATGGCATCATTATCATGTGGAGAAAAGACCGGTTCCAATGCCAAAATGTTATTCCTGGTGAGACCACCCTCTCTTGTCTATTCTCAAATTTATCTAATAGCGAGACTTGGTACTTCTCTAACGTTTATTGTACAGGCACCAACACAGAGCGCACATTGTTAGCAATTGAACTCGAGATGATCAAAAATTCCTGGGGTAATAAAGATATCATTGGTGGAGACTTTAATATGGTTTTAAAAAAATCTGAGAGATCGGACAGTAGATACGGTGATTCTAGCATCAAGGACTTTCATTCCCTCATCAATAATTTTGACTTGACTGACCTCCCACTAAATGATGGGAAATGGACATCGAGAAATATGCGTGATCAGCCTTCTTTCGCAAGTATTGACATATTCCTTATCACCTCCGATCTGATGATTTCACTTCCAAATATTTACCAAAAACTCATGCCCAAACTCACTTCAGACCATTTTCTCATCATGTTGGTCTCAAATGGAATCCAATGGAGACCCATTCCCTTCCGCCTGGATAACAAGTGGATGACATTGGATAGTTTCAAACACTAGCGAATGACACTTGAAAAAACACTCAAATCGGTAGCAAGACTAGTTATAGAATTGCTCAAAAGCTCAAAAAACTCAAAACAGATATTTAGAAGTGGTCTAAAACTACTGACAGACAAGAGGAAAAGGGCATTTCAGATATTATTGATGGAATTGACACTATTGACAGATTAGAAGAACTCAACAATCTCACTTCTGATGATATTGATTAAAAGAACAAATTGAAAGTTGATCTGGCGCACAGACTACAAATGGAAGCTATTTCTTGGAAGAAAAAATCTAGAGAGAATGGCTTAAGGACGGGGACAAAAACTCTAAATACTTCCATATACTTGCAAACCACCGCAAAAGGGTCAATTTTGTTGACGAACTCACTATTGATGACCAACTGTTTCAAAACAACAATGATCTAAGAAATGGTGTTTAAGTATTTTCAAAAACTTTACACTGAAACCATTGACTCTCACCCTAAACTTGATGATTTAACATTTAACAGAATTGATATGGATGATTGCTTATCATTGGAAAAAGGTTTTTCTGAAGTGAAAATCTTTGTTTGCTTGAGGGATTGTGATGGGACAAAGCCCCAGGGCCGGATGGATTTAATCTCAAATTCATACAGACTTTTTGGAAGGTTGTCAAAAGAAACATTATTGACTTCTTCAATGATTTTCATAATCATGACTCATTTGTAAGAGTTCTTAACTCTACTTTTCTTGTCATGATACCTAAATTACCCAACACAAAGAACATCAAAGACTTCCGGCCTATAAGTCTCATTGGCTACATATATAAGCTTCTCTTAAAAGTGTTAGCTAAAAGACTTGCTATTGTTTTACATAAAATTATTGGGGGAATCACAAAATGTTTTTGTTTTTGGTAGACAGATTAAATATGCTATTCTTATTGTAAATGAAGTGGTGGATGAAGCCATCAGGAATAACAAAAAAAGGGCACTATGTAAGCTGGATATGGAGAACACTTTTGATCACATCAGTTGGGACTTTATTGACTACATGCTGGAGAGACTTGGTTTTGGTACAAAATGGAGAGATTGGATTAGTTTTGCAGCCATGGTTAATGGCGGTCCATCGAATTTTTTCACTGGTTCTAGAGGTTAGAGACAAGGTGATCCCCTTTCTCCTCTCCTTTTCATCATTGTTATGGAAGGTTTAAATAAATTATTGGAAAATGCTAAAGAATTGCAGCTTTTAAAAGGTTTCACTGTTGGCCAACAAAAGAATCAAATGGAGATTTCCCATCTATTTTTTGCTGATGGCACACTCATTTTCTGTCAACCTGATATTTGCTCCTTAATTTTCCTGCGATGTGTCTTACTCTGCTTCCAGGCAGTATCAGGACTGAAAGTAAACCTACACAAATCTGAGTTAGTGGTTCATCTCCCCGGGTGACACACTTGCCCGTTTTTTAGTCTGTAAATTATCTCATCTCCCCATTACTTATCTTGGTGCTCCTTTTGGTGCTAAATTCAAAGATAAGCTGTTGGGATTCGATAATTGACATGTTTCCTAATCATCTTGCAAACTGGAAGATGAGGTTCTTATCCAAGGAAGACAAACTTACACTCATCAAAAGCACACTCTCAAATCTTCCCATCTACCTATTACCTGTACTTAATATTCCGAGCAGTGTTGCCAAAAAACTAGAGGTCATACACTGCAATTTCCTTTGAGGGGATGGTGACAACAATAACAAAAAAACTTCATTTGGGGGGATGGTGACAACAATAACAAAAAAATTTCATCTTGTGAATTGGAAAATAATCAAGAAACCATTCAAAGAAGGTGGTTTGAGTCTGAGGTCAATTGACAAACTAAATAAAACTCTACTTGGAAAATGGATATGGAGATTTTGGAATGATAACAACAGCCTTTGGAAATCAATCACTATGAGTAAATGATTCAATAGTGACTGCAATGATAACTCTAAAATAAAAAACCACAGTTATGGCTCTAGTTTATGGAGAGGTATTTGGAATCTAAAAAACCTAGTTCTTCATAATTCTAAGTGGAGCATCGGCAATGGTACCAAAACTCGTTTCTGAAAAGATATTTGGCATGACAGAGAAGCATTACAATCAAGATTTTCAATAATTAACGCGATTGGTAGACACAAAGACATTTTAGTAAAAGATGCTATCGAATTGAATCAATGGCAAGTGATTGTGTCTAGAAACTTACAAGATTGGGAAATTAAGGAATATAAACATTTGCTCCAAACTCTGTCTCACATCCACCTAACTAACAGCAATGACAAACTCATCTGGCAACACACCAAATCTGGTATTTTCTCAGTTAAGTCCCTGTACAAGACTTTGGTCAGCAATATTCCACAAGAACAGACAAAATTTCCAGCTAATTTATTTAGAAATCAAGTATCACTCCAAGAATTTCATTTTTTGCATGGGAAGCAACAAAGGACCGCATTCTTACACTAGATAATTTAATGAAAAGAGGCTTTACAATGGTAAATAGATGCTTTCTCTGCAAAAACAGCAATGAAACATGTAATCACCTACTCCTGGGATGTCCGATCTCTCACAACCTCTGGTCTACTATTCTTGGCCTCATGGGACTATCTTGGGTCAAACATAAATCAATTTTGGATGAGCTAATTGCATGGGAAGGATTGAGCTGCCACAAGAAAACTTTTAAATTTGTCCCTCTCACTATATTTTAGATCATTTGGAAGGAAAAAAATAATCGTGCTTTCGAAGAAAAAGAAATCGACTTCAAAATCATCACTGACAACTGATTTCATTATTTTGGATCCACTATTTTAGAATATAACATCGAATGCTTTGATAATCTCGGCTTTATTGTCGATTGTCTAATAGATCTGTATTTTTTTTGTAAATGGGCGGTGCCCCCTTGGCACCCTTACTTCAATACAGTTTTATACTTTTATTTCAAAAAAAACAAAAAATTATGAACATGTGCTAGTTGAGAAAAAAGTCTGAAACTACATTTACCTCATTCTCAAGATTTGATAAAATATAATAATATATGCTAATAAGTCTTACATTAATGATACTCTGTGAAGCCATTCCTAATCTTATGAAAATATTTCTTCCTAAATAATTTAGATGGTTTCCTGCATCAAGGAAGATTAAGTTTGCACTTACATTGGAACCTTAAAATATATACTCAAATTTTACCATAGTCAACCACTTTTATGTCACAATATCTCATTCAATCAGACATTAAAACACAAAACTGACCTATGAGCTACAATTAAGAAATATATGTTAGTTCACAAGGATTACCACCCAAAACAAAAGGCATGCAAGTAGCACAAGCACGTGCACACAAATACACCTACTCACAGTGTTGTCGTACATTAATATCAGTTCTGGAAGGCATCATTCCTCCACATAATTGACATTGTAAATGGACGGTGTTCCGGTTGCAGATGAAACCACCAGTATCAGCACCTGTCATCAACATTGAACTACCCAAAATAAGAGTAAGAAAAGATCGCAAATTAGACACATAATGCAGAACAAAGTTCTAAATGCCAAA